CTTTAGATACTGGCCTCCGTCCAGGTCAAGGCAATCCACGAGGGAGTCCATAGTAAATACTTCTTCTTTCAGCAAGATCTGCACCATCAGAGCATAGTCTGCCCTGAGCTCGACAATCAAGCCATGCAGTGTTGTAACTACACCAACAAACAGAACCAGGTAGAAATATCCATGAATCAGTCGAGCTGCTGGGGGATGTCTGTGGGCAATGACTTCAGCAGTTTTTGCTCGATGCTCTGGGCTTGCTTTTTAAGCTGCGGAGGAAGCTTGTCGAGAATTGTGCCGGCGTCTTGCTTGCTGGGCGTTGTGTTTCGCCCACGGGCAAATGTGCCCGTAAAGAGATCTTGGTCTGAGGAATCAGCTTCCTCCTCGTCATCTGGTTCCTGCTCCGGCTGATCTTCGCCGGCACTCTCCTCTTTGACGTCTCCCCCGCCGCTTGCCTCCGATTTCTCGCTAGCACAATCATCTTCATCAGCATCATCTTCATCATCTTCAGCCTTCGGAGAGCCCTCCTCTTCCTCCTCCTTAACGGCGGCTTTGCCAGCCTTGATCTTTGGGGCCTTTGGGTCCTGCTACCAGGTCAGCAGACTAAGGAAATATGGTACCCCAGACTCAGTAGCTAACAAAAAGCCTCAGAAAACCTACTTATGCACGAAGAAGTCCTTGGCCTTCAGAGGCTTTCCCTTTGCCTTTGTTAGGCTCTCCTGCAGATCGGAGGTGGCTTCCTGGCGAGCAGTCTTTGATGAGTGATGTATAAATTAGACTAGGAGGAGGAAGCCTTGCGGAGCTTCTCTATCTCAGCTTCCAAGAACTTTTCCAGGTCGTGTTTCCTCCATTTCTTCTTCCTGCATGCAGAGAGTGCTAGGGATTGCGTGGGGTCTGCAGGGTATATACAGTTTAAAGTTGCTTGCGGTTAAGTTTCGGGCCATCTCTAGCACCAGCCTAGTATGAGCTATCGGCGGGTCGGTTACTTGAAAAGCTCAGGGTCCGAAGTAAAAGGGTTATTTTACCTAAGTGTCTTGTGCCTGCATTGCCGGCGAATCATCGCCCGAAGCATCTTCGCAGCATCCAGCAGTGTCCCGCACTGCACAATGCTCACCGAGCACAAGCTGCGTCCCGTGCCTCTGGAATTCACTAGTGAGTAGAGGAGCTGTGCTGTCCCAGTAATATTGTACTGTGTGTGTCGGGGCCTATCCACGGAACATTAATCTATCCTAATCCCAAGCCCCAAGCACTGAACCCGTGATCTTTTCGACTCGAAGCTTCGGACCCCTTAGCCCTGACCAAAGAAAACCTGCCGGGGAATTGGCTGCTGAGGAACAAGTGTTTGGGTGGGTTGGGTTCTAATTTAGGTTTGGGAACTCGGAACCCTAACACTCAACCCTGGCACCCCCTATAATATCATGTCCCGGCAAAACATCCTTGAACTTGTCCCACAAAGCTGCCCCGTAGAAACAAGACCTTGAATGTAATCCCGAACAAAGTCACAGCCCCCTAATTGAAACCCAAGCCAATCTAAGGTATGGTGGTCTGGATCTCGACTCTGGGCCTGTATTCCGAGGGTTCAGCAGGCTGGCAAGTCTAGTGTAGGGTTCGTGGCTTTGGGTTTAGTTTAGGGCTTGGGGGCTGTGGGGGACCAGGATATTTAACTCGGTCGTTCATTTAGTAATTTAGTTAGTAGACTAGAAGTAGTTCAGAGTCCTGAGGATTGGCTTGATATACTCGGTGTGTTGGAACATGTTGAAAGCGGTTTCTAAAACTGATCTTTGCTCTGGGAGAACTATACATGTAAAAGGAATAACCTCGATAGGTGTAGTGATAGCTGGTAAAATTAATTAAGAAGAAAACCCGACAATAGCTAAAGTGAAGGTGCACCAGACCCTCTTGAAGCATAATCGTTGACTGTTCTATTGCCAAGAGATCCCTGAGACGAGTGGGCATCAGGTTAGTAATGGGGAATGATCCCATGTTTGGTTCTTGGGGGAGGGGGGGGGCGGGCTTCGGGCCTCCGTGTTCTCGATCTAACGAATAACATAGTTAAGTATGGGGTATTGAATATTTATCTCGCAGTCCAAATCACCTGAAAAAGTCTTTGCTGCATTGCTTTGCAGAGTCAGAATCAAGGAGCCCGAATCACGATCCAATGCCAGCGAACTAGAAACCCAAGCCCTGCAAACGACAACCCTACTAGTCCTCAATCACTGAAATTCAGAAACCCTAAACCTTCCCTATCTAGTGGGGAACCGGGGCAAGCACACGTCTGCAGCAACTTCGCAAGTCGCTTCCTCCACAGAGTGCTAGCCAAGGCAGCCTGGGAGATGTTGCGAGGGCGAATTGTACGACAACTCGGAAGCAGCTTGGCGTGATGGTGTGTGTGCGTGTGTGCTCTTGTTTACGTGGCATTCAGTCTCAATTCTCTGAACTCCCGTGCCTGTGCTGTCGCCTGATTCTCCTCCACCTTCTGCTTCGTCTTCTTCGCGTGCTGAGCCCTGTCGCTGTGGACTGCTTCCTTGGATTTGTTTCTGAAAGGCAACCGAGCTATGGCTATTGCTGTAGTACTACCGGGAATCATGAAGTTGCGAGAAGCATGCTCAACGGCAAAGGGTCGCCCAAGCATCCCACACAACGACTGCCCAGACAAAAACACTACAGCAGAACACCCCGGATGTTTCCAATGCAGCACAGCCCACCCCGAATCGCGAGATGCAGCCAGGTCTGGCGAGGGAAGGATTTTTGCAATCTAGTCTCGAGCTCGCCACCGATCTCCTGGAGATCGGCGGCCGCCAGGTAGGAGCCGGCCCCGGCGCCGGAGATCACGAAAGCGATCTGGCGAGTCGTCAAATCATCCATTTTGTCCTGGCCACTCTGCCTTGCCAGATCCTTCTGGCGAAGGCAAAACATCGCCTGGATCTCGGAAAACAGCCCCTGCGAGGACTGCGACTCACAGGAGTCGGAGCTGTCCTCATTCTCCTTGTCTGAGGAAGAACCTAAGCATCCGACACACTAGCAAGCGGGCCTTGCTGAAAAACAACCATGGGTTGAGAACAAGGCCTTTGTTCTTCTTCTTGTCACCTTTCGTGTCTTTCTTCTCTTTCTTGTTCTTTTTATCATCTTTTTTGGCCGACTTCGACTTCTCCTTATTATCATCTGCACCTGATGCAGCTGCCGTGGGAAAACCCGAGTTGTGTATTAGTAATAATTGCCTATGCATCAATCAACAATAGCCAGTGGAACAGGAGAATAGACCAGTAACCACCTGGCCTTCGAAAGCTTGGTCCAAGCTCCTCTTTGCTGCCGACATTAGAAACATCTTTGCATTCTGACCTTCATCAGGCTCTGCTGAAGGCAGCGACTTCGAAGAGTTGCTCCTGCTTCGCAGAGTTCAGAGTTATCTTATTTGGGGGTTTAGGGTCCAGGGGCTTAGGTGGCAAGGGTTCGCAAGTTGTTTTTGTATTGAGTTATTAATTACCACCACGAACTAAGGGAAAGCCTGCATATTAAAGAGTAGGTATTGATTGAAGGAATGCTGATAAGTTAGTAAGCACTGCTGCAACGAACACAGAACCTTGGAACTGGGGACCGACATATAATAATAATATCAGTGCACCCTAGAATCTGTCTG